CTTTCCTATACTTTGTTTTTCACTGTGAAACAGACCGAGAGCCAGCTGACAACGTTGATTGTCCTCTATTTGTTTTTCTTCTCTAGTCACGTTTGATCTCGTGAGTGTCCGTGAGATCACGTGTCACTGTGAAATCGTTCCTACAGTCATCAAGTGTGTGCGTTCAGAGGATTATAAGGCTAAAAATCGGTTGAACTGTCTCCATGTCTGTGGTCTCCCATGGTTTTAAAATCATTTAAGATTTGAAAATCGTCTAGTGTGCGGCCAGCCTAAGATGGAATTAAGTAAATTAGAACTTTTGAACTAGACATTGGATTTTGAATTTGAAATTAGAATTATGAAGTTATTTTTGAATTGCAATTAGAATTTTGATCTGTAGGTCCTCTTCCCTTGCTCTTTCTCACTGTGGGTAACCCTAGCTGTGTTTTTATGCTGTCTTCCTCCTCTCGTTCTCTGAGGAGTTCAGTTTGTCCTATTTCCCTACATCAGAGCAGCCTGCCACTGGCAATGAACTAAAAACACACACCAGCACAATGAAACAGCAAACACGCAAAGTGTAGTAACATCCTTTCTCACATTCAGTCTTTCAAAAACATATATGTCTGTAAATGGGTCATCCTTTAGTCAGGAGGTTTTGGCCTTTAGCGTTCTGGTGTATAAAGATACATGTTACTGTTTACACTGTGGTGAACTCACGCTCAACCTGCTCATGTTCCCACACTCACTTATTTGCTGAAGCACTACTAAATGAGATATCATTAGTTTCTTCCCATGATATGATTTCCAGAACACAAGGTAGCGTGAACAGGTATGCAGAATATTCATTTTATAAATGACTCATTTATGCCTATTTATCAGACTTTTATTTTGCTTTAAATGAATTGAGCAATGAACCACAGACAGAAGAAACATAAAAAATTAAAGTAAAATATTTGGAAGTATTAAAAATATTAAGCAGCACAATTGTTTTCAACTGATAATAATAAGAAATGTTTTTAAGCACAAAATCAGCATATTCAAATGATTTATGAAAGATCATGTGACACTGAAGATTGGAGTAATGACTATTTAATAATGAATATTTGTTTTTTTTATCAAATAAATGCTACCTTTGTGAACATAAGAGACCTTAAAAGCATTAAAAAAATTATACCGACCTCAAACTTTTGAATGGTAGTGTATATTGAGTCTAATCAGACCCAAATATTAATGTATAAATATATATTTTTATCAGTTATAAATATATGTAAAACATATGCAGAGCTGGAAATGAGCATCAGATGACCTGCTGTGTTTTTTTATAAGAAAAGAACCAGATTTTAGCTACATTGTGTGGATAAACTAATTGAAAATGTCTAGATTGTGCATTTATGAGAATCTAAAAATTCAGAAAGATTCGTGTGAAGGGTTAGGTTTAGAAAGAAAAAAAAAGAGATCAGTATTAAAACAGTAGAAGTCAATGTAAAGTTCCCACCATCACAGAAAAAGAACCCAGCTGGCTTTTGAATTGAAATGTTGAAATGTGGTTAAAATTGACATTATGTCAGCTGTTGTTTCAGTGTCTAAAAAAATAAAACTTAAATTTTAAAATGGTTGTAAAATACTAGTAAAAAAAATTCCAAAAATATTACAAGATCTGTACAAAATGGATGTTGAAACAACGCTTGCAATATCAGTGTTGATGTTGTTGAAATGCAGATTGGGAATATGTGTGTGAATTTTGGTGTGACCATGCTAGCAATTTTGTCCTCTATGTTGACCTGAGGCTGTGTCTCTCATACAGTATGCTGCATTATGTGTCTTAAAAACTTCAAGCGGAACCTGCAAGTGTTTATTGGGTGTTAAAAACTCAAAGAGCTAATGCTGGCCTACAGCTGTCTGCTCATGTTCACAATCTCTCACTCACACACTCACACATGACATATGTGTCTGCACTCATAATGTCACCTATTGTGCAAATCTGGCTTATCACATCTCCCAGATAGTTAGATGTGATCACAGATCTAAGTCAGAGGTAATAATAATAAAGATAAATCTTTGATAAATGATAAATCCTGATAAATCTTTACGACTGGTCTTATAAAAACTGCAGTGATCTGACCATTAAAGGAATAGTTTCTCTAAAAATGAAAATTCAGAAATTGGACCCCACTTACTTTATGAAAAGAAGCAAAGACATTTTTCAAAATGTCTTCTTTTGTGTCCTTTAAAAGAAAGAAAGTTTTACAAGTTTGGATATGAGAGTTTAATTTTTGAGTAAATTATCACTTTAACACACAGTTTAGTGACATGACTGAATCAAATGCATCTTCTATTGAAAGCAACATAGGCCTACATATTGCTAATAATTATAATAATTATTTGCTTGACAAAGCCAACACTTAACTATTCAAGCTTATTATAATTTTTTGAGACAAAGTTTCTAACAGTATATCTTGTCCTAGAGTTTTAAAGCTATGACCACCAAATTCAGTACAGACCTTCGAGATGTTCTGACTTGGTATGCTAAATACAAAACTACATTATAAACTTGCTAGCAACATGCTAAATCTTGGTAGCTGAAACATCCTGTGTGCTAAATCATGCTAGCAGTGTTGTAAAACATGCTAGCAACATGATAAAACATGTTAGAAACATGCTAGCAACATGTTATGTAATGTGCTAGCAATGTGTTAAAGCATGTTAGCAACATGTTAAAACATGCTAGCAGTGTGCTAAAACATTAACAAAATGTGTAAACAAAATGTTAAAACATGCTAAAACTTGCTTGCATTGTGCTTGCACAATGTTACAACTTTCCCCATCTGCGCAACTGGAATTTAAAGCTATCTTCTGCTAGTTAGCGAATCTATATTGATAAGTAACAGATTGGAGATTAAAATAAAAGCCAATTTGTCTCATTTTAAATTAATACTAAAAACTGAGATGAAACATTTACTTCAGTTAGAAATGTACTTTTACTATGGTAAAAAATATATAATCAGCGATATCTTCAAAAGATTTTTGAATTTTGGCACACTTTTTTTCCTCTATATGGTGTTGATATTGCAAATAGTAAATACCGTAAATTTGGTTATGCTGACGTGTGGAAATATTTAAACCACGTGTGTTGCAACTAACCCCTCGCGCTCCCCTACATGCTATAGACATGCTAAAACATGCTAGCAACATGTTTAATATGTGCTAGGGTGACCATACGTGCCATTTTCCCAGGACGCGTCCTGGCCAGGATTTGTTTTGGCTTTGTTTTCCTGTTTTCATGCTTGCTGAAGGTAATGATCGAAAAGTAGTTTGACCAATAACATGCAAGCATTGTACATAATGGACCAATCATGGCGTGTGAGAAGGTGGGATCTACGGTCAAAGCGATGCAATTACGCATACATATTAGGTGTGTTCGACTTAAAAACAGCGGCCAGGACGCGTCCTGGGAAAATGGCACGTATGGTCACCCTAATATGTGCTAAAATATGCTAGAGACATGCTAGCAGCACGTTAAAACATTACATGCTAATGTTAAGAAATGCTATTGGAAACTTGCAATGTCTAGAAACGTGGTCTGCTGCGGTTTCTTAGGAATCTTATGAGGTGTAATTGGGTCTGAAAAGGACAGGCTTTGTCATGTATGTCAACTTTATCTGTCTAGTTGTTTGATTTATAGTACTGTTTTACCACTGACATTATTTTTGGAAAGCTCTAAAAAGTCTCAGCTCAGGATATCCAGTAGCAGAAGAGTATAATACAATACTGATACAAATAGCAAATTTGTTATGCGTTTTATGATAGTTTTATGCACTTTTACCTCTGTTTAGCACAGATTATTATAATACGGCTCTAAATACTGTACTGTGTCTGTGGGTTGCTGTGGTAACGAGTTCTGCGGTCTTTCAAGAGGAGGCTGTTTTCTTCTGTAGGGTTACTTCCACCGTGGTAATAGGATGAGAACTAGAGGGCTAAATTACATGCTGTGAAGGCCTTTGCCCAAACCTTGGCAGGCAGTTTCTCTCTCTTTCTCCTCTTTTATCTGTGTTCTCTGAAGACGACAGTGCCAAGGGTGAAACAGGGAGAGATTCAGAGCAAAGAGAGAAACAGAGAGCGACTGTGTGTGAGAGAGAACGAGAGAGACAGAACTTCTTTCGGATAACGAATAACTGTGACCTGTCATATATGGTAGTTATGAACTGTATGTGTGTGTGTAAACTTCATTTGAAAATATAAGCACTGCTTGACCTTGCAAAATAATGTGTTGTATTAGCTAGGGCATTGCAAGGTCTAACCAGAACAATTAGGTCTCTGTGGAGCCATCTACATGCAAATATTTTTTAAAAGTGCATGATAAAAAATTTCATGTTAATGAAAGTGTACATTTTATATATGGTCATTTAATTGCATATACTGTATGAATTATACAAATCCACTTAAAGAAGCATGCTAGTTGTAGTCCCATGCATTATTTAGTGTGTGTATCCCTGCAGTCTGTGCTCTGGTTTATTTGGGTGAATGTAGGTGACTGTAAGAGGTGTGCAGGTGCTCCATACTAACCTTAAGATGGCTTATCCTGCTCTTCATCTCTCTGCATCTGACTCCTCATCACACACACGCACATACATTGGTTTTTCTATCATGGTAAAGACTTTGCATTGACTTCTATTTGAGTTTGTTTATTCCCTAACTCTATGCCTTTATGCATTTTTATATTTTCATACTACATATTTAGTATGTTTTTCAATCTTTCTTAGAATGTTTTTTGTTGTTGTTGTTGAGCATGTTTTGTTTTAGGATATTTAATCATTTAAAAGGATATTGTAACATTTCTGTTCTGTTTAGAGAAAGTTAGTCAGTTTGGCCCGTAAGTGGCGCACAAGAATGCTGGAGATTAGTGTCTGTGATTGTGTGTGTGTGTGTGTGTGTGTGTGTGTGTAATTAGCAGAGCAGAAGGGGATTTGTGCTAAAACTCTCCCTCCCCTCTCCTCCACTCTTCTTCTCTCCTCTGCAAGAATACGTGTGTGTTTATTGCGACAGCGTGCATGAATGCCGGGGTTGTTTCCTTACAAACAGGAGGTCCGAGATGCGTCTGCATGCAGCCTCTCTCTGCGGGTCCCATCTGACAGCGGAAGCCCTCTGAGACCAGGACTGGGCTGCTGTAGTCTTCCCAGCATTCTCTTGGATCAGATCATCCTGGCTTGGGATTTCATTGGTTTTGCTTGGTTCAGATTGCCCTGGTGCGGTCAGGACTGTTTTAGCATCGGTCTGGACCGAATGTGGATCAATCCGGATCGGTTTTGGGCTGGTTCCGAGACATCAGGTCGAACCGAGGCCAATCAAGACTGGTTTAGGTACATGTGGGAACCAGTTTAAATGTCTCTGCATGAGTTTCTTCGGGAGGGCCAGGACGCCCCACAGCGGATCCTGTCCCGACTGACCCAGCTCCTCTACAACCTATCGGCTACGGTCTTACAGGGGGCCCCCTTCTCTCCTTTCACAACCTTCAGCCGCAAGAGCTCCTGGAGGGACTGGAACGGTGAGAGACCAGAATATCAGTGTGTGTGTGTGTGTGGTGGAGTTGCTTTCAGATGGTTTTGCTGAGGAAACAGGATGGACATTGCTGACTGCCTCTGTTAGATTCTGAGTCATTCAGTTTTAGGACACTTTGTGAGCGGTTAAAGGAATAGTTCAACCAAAAATGAAGCTTCTGGCAACATTTATTTACCCTCAAGTTATCCCAAACTCATATGACTTTCCTTCTTCTGAGGAACTGCAACATTTTGAAGAATGTAGTACCAGTTGATCTTTTTCATGCAGTTTGAAAAAATGAGAACTGAAACTTTCAGGCTTCAAAAAGGATGCAAAAGTACCATAAAATTACCATAATTGCTTAAATTTAGGATTTTTTTTTGTTTTTTATTGTCTTGAAGGACAATAAAATAGTGCACAAGTCATGTGGACTTTATGATACTTATAATACTTTCATGGTGTCTTTAGTCTGAAAACTCCAGTCTCAATTTTTTTTTTTTTTTTGTATTTTGTAAATGCATAGAAAAGATTGACCCACACATTCTTTAAAATATCTTATTTTGAAGGAAAAGTATATACAAGCATGGTATGACATTAGGGTAAATGCCCGTTCACACCAAGCCGGACAACTATAACTGTAAAGATAAAGTTTTAATATGGTTCTAATTCTATGGAATTAGAATTGGAATCACTTATAAAATCATTTTTTCCAGCTAATAAACAATAAAGACATTAATAGCCAATCAAAGTCCACCTGACTTTAAAGAGCTTAAGCATTTAAAGCAGCAGACGACAGAACATTATAAACAGAACATTATCGTCCATTGGTGTGGATGCTAAAATTGTTATCTTTATAGTTATTGTTCTCAAGAACAGGCCTTAAATAAAGAATGGAATGGATGGAGCTATTCCTTGAACATGCTGTGGCCCCAAAACGTTATCTGTTGAAATTAAATTCTTGGGTGTTCAGATCATTTTTAGGGCCAATTTAAGTAAATGTTTGTGCATTTGTTTGTGTGTGTGTGTGTGGTTTCCTCGTGGGATTTCTCACATCATTGAGATGCATGTGGATGGCCCATTGGCCGGATCGCACTGACACACATCCTCTCTCTCTCTCTTTCTCTCTCTCGCTCAGACACTTTGCGCTAAAAGTTTTGTTTTCCACAGTAAACCAGTGCATCTCAGCACAGAGCTAGACTGGTATATTTAGGGAACACACATGGCATGAGCGACTGATAGACTTGGGCAAATAGCGTATCATCTCAACTTCTCAAAAAAGATATTCACACACACATACCCCCGTAACAAACTGAACAATTGCTTTGCTTTGCGTAGTCCACAGCGGACAAACTAGGGAATATACGCACTCAAAAACAAGGCACTGCAAGGACAGCTTGTGGCGGTATCTGTACTGGAGAACAGATGTCAGACGTCCTGAAATGTGAGTAAATCTCTGATCTTAAGCCGCTCTGTGTCTGTTTCTCGCTTGTAACAGGATGCCGCTTAAGTCGGAGTGTGTTTGTGTGTGTATTTGCTCTTTGATGTTTGACTTTCTGTGTGTTTAATATGAGACGACTCCCAGCATCCTTGTGATGTTGTCACACTCTTTTGTTCTGTATCTGCGCTATGCAGACGAGCTATTTTGGACTTCATTATCTGTCATATGCAGACTATCTTTTTAGGCTGATCTCGGCCCAGCGTTGGCATGAAGTTTTCAAAGTCTTATATTATTAGAATATGATGTTTATACGCCGCTTCTAGCCAGATTGTTCCTTGACTGTCTGCGTGTAGCATTTTTTAAGGCAAGCATCACTGTCACTATCGCTCATCAGTGTTATTTTTTTTATCATTGAAATACTGCTTATATTTCCTGATTTCATTTTAATTGTAAAGTTTTAGTACTTTTGTTGTGTTTTTTGTTATTTTAAAAAGTTTTTGTTTTTATGAATTGGTGAATATAATTTGACTTAGCCTATTTTAGTACATCAAGTTAAACTAAATGAAAATGAGAAATATTGCCTTGGCAACTAGCTGAAATAAAATTACTTTTTTATATTTTATTTTATTTTAATTAACGTTTATTTCATTTGAAGTAAAAAAAAAAAAAAACAGTTTTAGGTGGTTTTAGTTTTAGTCTACTATGACAACTCTGTTGCACATACTTAGTGTGTGATATATTTTGAGTTTGATATCTAGATTTGATATAAGTCAGGGCCACGTGGAGTTCTCCAGTATGTTGTAATGGTGTCTGGTAATGGTTAACTACACCTGCAGCGGTTTGCGTGAGGTCAAAGTATAATGGACAGCGGTTAGAGTGGTGAAGCGGTGCTGGATCCATTTACGTCTGTGTTTGTGTTTGCTGTGAGAAGTAAATCCTGATAATCAGAAATGGAAACAGTGTGCTGTTTCATCCATAAACCTGGGAGGACACAAACCAGGTACACGCAGACTCTGCAACAAGGTAAATGTGTTTGGATAACCTTTGAGATCTTGAGCTGAGCTTTGAGACTATGTGAGAAGTCTCTGACATGCAGAAATTTCAATGTATAACTCTATATGCAAAAATCTTAAATAATATGTAAAATAACTATAACAATTAATGTTACAAAATTAAATTGTAAATATGACAGTTGCTCATACTGTAATTATTTTTTTTTTTTAATTTATAGTAAAACAACAGCCGTGTTTGCCAGATTTTTACCGTAAAAATATAGTTGCAACATTTTAAACTTTACAGATATGTTTTTTACTGTACATTTAATTTCAATATTTTAGGAACTGAAATAATTGTAATAATAATTTTACTTTAAAACATACTGACAACCACCTTAAACGGATGGTAAAGAGTTCATCAGAAGCTCAAATTAATAGGTGCCCAAAAACCTGTGACACTAAAACAATGCAATAAATATTAATTTAGCAACTTAAGAAAAATAAAAAATGAGATGTCTATACTATCTTAATTGTTTTTTCATTTGTTTTGTTAATATTTGAAAAATATTAAATTGAGACAAACTACTGAGTCTTAGTGTTTCTCAGATATTATAAAATACCCCTATAATAAATTCTCAAATTATGCAAATCATTTCAAAGTAACAATCCACATGTTTAATTATTGCAAAATATTCTTTTTAGTTTTTTTTTTTAATTATTATTTAATAGTTTTTCATTTATCCATTTAGAGTATACATATACCAGTTTGTTTGTTTCCTGGAACTCAAATCCCTGAACCATTCTTAACCAATTGAGCTACAGAAACTTTGTAAATAGTCCCATTTGTTTGTTTCTTTCTCTTTTTTTTTCTTCTTTTGTGCATGTGTTTGAAAATCTGATGATAATGCAAATGCTTGTGATAGTGCCTGAAATCACAGGTGAGATAAGAGACAGATGTGTAATGTGTTTGTGTTCGAGTGAGCAGCTTTGTTGTGCATCTCAGATGGGCGTGACTGAGAAACAGCGTCACGTTCCTGACTGCAGCACTCACACCTGAGAGAGAAAGATAGAGCGTCAGAGAGCGAGAGACAGATCGTGATCATTCAGGGAGTGAATATTTGCAATGTGAGGACAGACAGGATGTGACAGTAAAAGGGAGAATGATTGAGGAAGGTAAGAAGAGCAGGGCAGATTGAGGCCGAGTGAAGGAGGTGAAATGATCCTGACGGAGGAGACTGGGACGCACCTCTGCAGGAGCTGGGTGAAGATCCCTTTAGAGGAAATGGAAAGTTTCTTCAGGTTCACTGTTTGCTGTGAGGGGCTAAATTGTAAGTTGCTCTTGTGTCATGTGCTTAGAAGATGAGAAGTGTTTGTGTGGCACTTTGTTGTTTTTCCCAGCACTTGTATCATGATGTTGTTGGCAGTGATGTATCATGGGATGCTTTCAGGGTGATAATACATCTGCAATTTGAATACATGTTGTTAGTATCTGATTGTGTGACACTATTGCTGTCAGATTTAAAAAGCTGAATACATTTTAAATTCCCTGCATGGATCAAGCAGCCAACATTTCACTAAAGTAAATTCAAATTAAACAATTAAATGTCATTTTAAATTACAAATCATTATTTATTTACTCATCCTCATGAATTTCCACACCAGTATGCTTCTGTTTTTTTTCTATGAGACAACAGTACATTTTTAAGAATTATTTTACATCTCTTACCATGATGCTCCATAATAACCAGCAATTATATTTTAGTATTATTTATATACTGTTCTGAATTAGTTTTAATTTTATATTTTGTTATGTGCTTTTGTCTTTTTTATAAGTTTTTTTAAATGATTCAGCTTTATCTTATTGTTTTAGTTTCTGTAATTTACTACTTTAATTGAAACTTCCAGTTAGTTGCCAAGGTTTTTCATCTAATATAATAATTTATTATATCTATATATATCTATATATTACAATATATACAGGTCAAGCTCCATAAAGAACAAAAACACCAAACGGCATCATAAAAGTAGTTGATCTGATCAAGTATCTGCTCCACTTGACCCTCACCTAAAGCTCTCATTTGTCATCAGAATTTTAAAATGATGGGGCTTGACAGAAAGGCAAATTGTTATTGAACGGCACAAGGTTAGTAACATTTCTTCCAGTGTCCAATGATTTTCCAATGCCTCACTGAATAAAATAACAGCATATGGAATTGAAATTATATGAGGGTGAGTACAGAACAATTTGTTTGTGTCGACTGTTCCTTTAAAGGGTAAGGTAACCAGAAAGACATAACAAGCACTATACTTAGGTTTGTTAGGTGTCCTTAGCCAAAGTTCAAATGCGAAGCATCTGACATTGCATTTGTCATAAGACTGTCAAACGTCTGTAGACAGGATGTTGTAATTAGATGCACCTGCTGGCTTGTTCCTCTGTGGGTGTGGTTCTTCAGCATGGCTTCTCTCTGTGACTGTCTGTCTCTGTGCTGCTTGAGTATTTTGCATAACCTTTGCAGTGGGAACATCACAACAAACATCAAACAAGAAAAGACTGAGCTCTCCTCTAACGCACAT